TGGCAAGGTGAGGAGGCAGGAAAGCCCTTGGTGACTTGGGGAGAGCTTTAAGAGGATGGTCCAGTCTTGTTTAAGGAGGTAAGCACAGCGTCCTCCAGTCATGGGGCAGGGCATCGAGGAAAAGCCCTTACAGGCCGGGCCGCCCACTCACCTTTTGATTCTCTTGTTCCCCATTGAAGTCCAAGGGAGAACACGATCATCCCAAGCCGGAGACCAAAGTGGAAGCAGAGGCCAGAAGGGTGAGGAAGAAAGCACACAGGACCATCCCCTGGGCCTCTTGGAAGCTGAAGGGGTACTCACAGGTCAAGGTAACTGTGCCCCATGCATGGTCACAACACACAGCAACTTGCCACCCCACAGTGGGGGGGAGAGGGGGCGAGGATTCCCTGCTCTCTTACCTAAATGAGAACCAAAAGCCGTATGCCGTCAAGCTGGTCCAGAGTAAGCATCCTACTCCAGAACAGTTCACTCTCTATTGCTACCTTGTAACATGCACCGTGCAGCTGCACCCAACCATGCATCCCCGATCATCTCAGAACCATCTTCCCTGGCACTCTATAGTTTTGGTTCTAGCAGAACCAATGGATGGATATTATCCCACAAACAAACACATTTGCCTGATGGGTTTGCCATCCCCCTAATTTGATTCCCTCCCAAACATGATTTCCTTGGCACAGCCTCCCAGGGTTGTCCACCCAGCAAGTTGCCTGGCCAGGCAGTTTCTGCAGATGATGTTCATCTAGGGCTCCTGGCCCCTGATGACTTGTCTCACTTAGGACCATGGCTTTGTGCGTCTCCCTGCTTCACTGGGACAATCGTTTCTCTTCTTTGTCTGCTATTCAGTAGTACTCTGAAATTTTCTGGAGAACAGAGGTGGATCTAGCCCATCCCTGCTCATCTGATAGAAGGAAGAAAAAAATGTCATTTGATTCTGTTATGGGAAATGTGAGCTTCTGAACCCAAGTAGCTTGTCCCTTATTCCTTTTCTCAGTTACGGGACAACCAAAGGGTACTTCCTCCCGTTTCACCTGGTCACCACCCTTTCCCTCCGCCCCACAAGCCATTTGCTGATAGCTCTCCTATTGAGTCAACTCTCACACATAGCCACCCTTTAGGACACAGTAGAACTGCCCCATGGGTTTCCAAGACTCTTTACGGGAGTAGAAAGCCTCATCTTTCATCCGAGGAGCAGCTGGTGGTTTTGAACTGCTGATCTTTAGGTTAGTTGCCCCATACATAACCCACAACGCCACCAGGGCCCCTCCTTCACTGATAGCTTTATGTAACCACAAGCACACCTTTAATTCATAACCAGATTCTTTGACACACGGTGAAGTCCAGTCTATGTTTGTATCTTCTCCTTTCTGCTTCATCGTTTCCTTTAAGATAAACAGAGACCAGGACAATACATTTCCTCCCCACAGAAAGATAAGTTGGTCACTTGGTGATAGTTGTGCCACACGATGAATGCAGTCAGTGTCCCGTGTAAGATATGCTGAAATGGCAAACACTCTCAAATGGTCTTCATCTTAACCACAATAAACGAAAGACGGGAAGGAGGAAGAGAGGAAGAGAGAAATTAACCCACTACTTTCTATTCGATTTTTGATTCATGTAAACTCCTGTGAGCAAAGAAAGTCTCTTGGGGGTGAGAGGAAATCCCCCAAACCAACACCTTCCATCTCTCAGACACCAGCCAGCACTAAAACATAGAAAGGCAAAGAAGAAGACAATTTTGGAAGGGGGCGAGGGAGGAGGAAAACCCTA